ACCAACCTTTCTCCATTCTATCAAGACTGGGTAGGAGGCGAGTGGAGAGAGGGGAAAGGATTGATGCTAAAGCATTAAGCCTTTTTTGTTCGTTCGTAAATGGTGTTTAAAAAATTGGTATTAGAATTGTTCTGGAACTTCTTGACACCCCCCCCAAGTGACGTTATTTATGAAGGACCCCATTTTGAACATTTTCTTCATTTCACTATAAATTTTTTAAGAACAAACCAAACTTACTCAAAATTTTCTAGTTACTAAATTGCCAACTATTCTAATCTTAGCCGTTCACGATTGAGAATCAGAAGAGTTGGTTGATCCACAAAACATATAAATTCAATGCTTATTAATTCATTCAAAAAATAAAAAAATGACACTCTTTGCAAAAAAATAACAATTAAACCTACATTAAGCACTCAAAAGTAATTACATAAATTTAACAGTATGCCTATAGCTCATAAGATGCTTAATTGACTCCACTTGACAATTCTCAAGTACTTAATTAAAAGCTCTTCAATTCCACTTTGAGCTCAGTTTTATCTAGTATCTTATTTTAAATAAATTCATCCTTAATTAATGTAATTACCTTTGAGCATCGTTGATGATCTTAATTAAATTTTGACGAAATATTGATAGGAAATGTTCCGAAGCTATAAAATTTCAATCACATGAACTAATTAAGACTTGAACAAAAGTTATAGTGACGGAAATAAATCGATGAAATTACAGTATCAATTAAAACACTTTAAGCTGTAATTTGATAGAGAAACTTTCTAGTCTAGATAATAAGATATGCGATTGACAACAATTACCGACAAACTTTGGAATTCGAGTGTTGTTGATAATAATATTGTGTTAAGAACTTTATCATGCAATAATAGCTAATTGTCTTTTGTGCCAATTATATTGGAATTTGCATACATTTATAAATATTAAATGTTAATGTGGAATGAATAGTAATAGATTTTAATTGATCAATATAATTGAGAATTGAGTTCAATTGTCATTAGAGTTTGGGTTTCTGCTTCTGCTGTGGGTGTAAAATCTTTTAAATTTGGATGAGATCTTAAACAGTGAATTCATGTTTTTTACATTCTTACATTTTTGTGTTTATATTCATATGAATTAATATTATGTTGGATCAAGCTTCTAATCTTCAAATCTAGGTTTCGATTAAATTCAGGATCTCGTTTTAATCTTTTGTGGGTGTGATGTGATAGATTTCAGGACGATTCTGACAATATACTATTTATAATGATAATCTTGTAGCTCTTGTTGCTATTTCTCCCGCTACATTTCAAATTCCTGAATCCGTTCCTTAATCCAACATTGCCCAAATGTCTAATTATAGCTTGATCTCGTTCATTAAGCAGTCGAAGTATCTTAACTTCCGAAAAAGAACAAATTTGGAAATGGCTGGATTCAAACCGGCAACCTTCAAGTTATCTTACCAAATTTGAGCCAAGCACCTTACCTATTTGACCAGCAAGGCCAAATTTAATATACAACATAATTCAAATTCCTTTAAACTTAAATTACTGCCATCATCTTTAATCAAAATACTTTGCATTAGCATCAAGAACAACCGAAGACAGAACATACGTAGATGTCTCGAAAATCATATCAATCCAATTACCATAAGATAATATCCTCATATTTTTCCAAACGAATTTATTGCATTCCTTCTTCTTTCATCTCCAATCAGTATAAGCGTCATTTACATTTCCATCATTATTCCTAATACGATGCTTGTTAGAAATTCGAAGCACATTCTTTACATACATACTCGTACTTATTAAATCTGATTCATCATTTCCCATGAACATCGGAGAAACAAAAAGAAAAATAACGCAGACTGTTATTAAAATCAATTCCAATTGCGTATCTCTTGGCAGAATTATTGAGTCAATTGATAAACCTACACGTGCGTCTTGTCAAATGTTTCGAAATTGTATCATGATAAATTAGTATTATACTTTTTCAATCTCCTACCACATCTACATGTATTGTATTTTATATCAAAGTTCTCGTATCACTTTAAAAAAAATTCAGCTTTCCAGCATTTACTTTGACATGACATCGCAATAGCGATATGAATGGATGGGAGGATGGGGGGAGAATGCGAGTAGAGAAATGAAAAATACTTAGGATGGAAAAAATGATGTAGGTCGTTTCTGCTATTATTCATTCTTGTGACAATATTAAGCCAATTTATGCAATATAAATCGTGATTCATGTCATTCACCAACTCGACGGAGGATGAAAAATATTTTTCAGGATCATACTCTAGTCTTTCAGATATGTATGTTTAATAATTTGAATGAAAAAGAAGAACCTTAATCAAATTATGATGAGGATTTTGAATTTTTTTTTTGTATTTTTCTCGGCATATGATTTGGTCTTTATGTTATTATGTTCATACTAGATTATTGTTTAGTTCGAATGCTTGACTTGATAACTAGTTCACTGTGTATGACATAGTTGATAGAATTTATTTTAATTTTGGAAAGGTCAGAACTCAGGGGTGCAAATTAATAGAATCATAAGGAGACCTATTGGTCGTTCAGTTATGACGTCCGAAATTAACAGTTTTTTGTCAAAAAGAATATTGAATTTCCTATAATTTCTATTGCTCTTTACTTGCTGACCCCTTTCCCTCAAGCTGGACGTCATAAGTGAACAGCTCCTTAGTTATCTACTTTTAAGTTTTAAGACCAACTCAAGATTAAATATCACCTTTACCTATTTTGGTCCAGGGGTGTGCTAATGTGAGTTTTACGAGTGAGGATGTGCCAAACCACTGCACTCAAACCTAGACCTATAGTTTATAGTGGTATCCGAACCATTTCTTTGATGACATTACTGCTTGTTGCCTACAAAGGAAGGCTTTGAGCTTCATTTCCAGGACATATGGTTGAAATAGGGACAAGTGAAGAGTCTCGAACCCATGAACGCTGTATCGGTTTTGCAATAATTTTGTACCGAAGAACTAAACCATTCCGCCACCAAGCCACCACAGCTCACTAGTTCAAGACTAGGTAAAACTATATATAGGTTAGAATTTGTTTTCATACTCACAGAAAAGATATTCTGAGGTTCTTTATTGTTGGGATAAGCAAGAATGCCGTATGATAATTCTAAGAAGTAGGTTCAGAGGTTGGATACCAACCCCTCCGAACAATCAATTCCAAATTAAAAGGAAATCAATAACAAGATAGCCTCGAAAAAATTAGAAACAAACCCAGATCGATTATTGCTCTAAAGTCATGAATCAAATAGCTGTGTGGTTTAGAAGTATAATTTCGTACATACCCTCCTTTCTAAAATGACATCTGAAAGTTCCATTTCGCTATAGTTAATCTACAATACTTAAGATATCAATGATTGTACTCAAGAAAATGATGGTTTTGATCGTTTAAGACAGTGTTGTACAAACTTTGTGTTGTGGCACACTGATGTGCCGTAGAAATTTTTTGGGAATGTCGCAAATGTGCTACTTTGATCTTGGTTTTCCCCTAAAGTGTGCCGAGGATCAAAAAGTTTTGGCAACACTGGTGTAAGATGACGAAAATGTCTATTATTTTCTATTTCTCTTTTTTGTTCGCTTCCTCCATATTAAATGAACCATAAATTATGCATTCATTCCTATTATCAATTTATGATAGGCGAATACAAAAGAAATATTGATGTTTCATATTATATTTACGTAGATATAGAAATTTGTAAGGCATTTAAGGATGATATGATCTAATTCGTTCTTGGAAGAAAAGGAATTGATGTGCAAATATTATCTCAATGACAATGATTAAGTTTGAGATGCTGAAAAAAGTCAATAAGAGGAATAAGAATAAGTTTTTATTTGTAATACATTTATATTTCTGTATAACATGAATGTACGACTGTTAAGGAAGAGAAACGATAGAGAAAAATTTGTTAGACAATCTGACTTGTTTGTCGAGTGTGATTGCTCAAGGGAAGTGGAGATTATGATGGAGAAATAAGCACCAACTGAAGTGTATAAATTTTCACATTTTTTTCCCTCAACATTCCATCCTTATAACGTGAAGGTACAAACAATTTCCATTTACCGGATTTGTAGAAATTCTCTTTTGGGAATAAATGACCTACAAAAGTCGCTTTTCCATTTCCATTAAGCTTAAAGATTGAACGAGATGAAATAACCTATTAGACATCATGTGATTATTAAAGCTCAGTAATTTCGGGTGAATTTTAGTCTGATGGACATTCGTTTTGATGCGGGTAAGGTTTTCTGATGCATCAAAATGTCATTAAAAGTTTAATTTGATCTTTTTCTGAAAAATGCTGTTTTAGGCAAAGCTGCTTATGTAATGTCGAAACTGAGGAATAGTAGAATTTTTTCGCAGATTTATGTCATCGAATTTTATTTGAATTTTTGAAAGATAATTCTGGAAAATTTATATTATAAAATCTAGTGATCAGGTCCTATGCTCCATACTTATTTTCTTGGCTGAGGCGCACATGGCCACATTTCCCTGTTCAGTGATCATCTAAAGACAGCTCTTTCTTTTGAGACCTTCTGCCAGTTCGGGATATTATTGTCCTATGTTAGGGCTCATTGATAAGTGATGTCAACCACTTAGGAGGTCAGCAGATTTTTGTCCAAATGTGACGATGAGGATGGGGTCTTTTAATCCAATTTTTGACAGACTAAAACTTATATTCAGCACAGGACTGGCATACAGGATGTCATATAATCCCCTCCTGTCATTGCCAAAGATTGAAACTGATCAAAACTTTACTGATTAAATTAAAACCTCCAAAAAATAATCAATTCCTAACCGAAAAACCTCATAAAACATATCAAAAGTCAAACGTTTCATACATCACATAAAATCATACCCAGAAGCACAAAACAAAATATCCACATGAATCAAACTGTCACTTATTTATCAATTTGCAAATGTCAAATAAAAAACCAGATTTCTAATCTACTGTTTCCGTTTATCTCTTCATTTTCAGACTGTAGCTGAAGGCGCTTTTATTTCATCCATCTATCCATCCATCATACACTCGCACACAGTGTGGAGAACAGCAAAAAGAGGAGAAGAAAGAAGTCATCGTCCTGTATATTCTATGAATCATTAAATAATAAGAGTTATAGAATAGACAAGAACCAAACAACAAAGATCATTTGGAGAAGTCAAAGCTATCTAACGCATGTCCGACATTTTGATAAATGCTTTCCGTCATCTAAAGTAATTTTCTTGTTACACTAATTGTGCGCTGCTTATATCTACATTCATTGAGGGACAAAAAGAGCTGTCTAACAGACAACAACAACAAAAAAAAGTGTGTTATGTCCTTTGAGGCATACACAAGTTGAAGAAGAAACGCAAAAAAAAAGTGAAGAGTTAATTACAATTGCTAGTTCCATTATCTCCCCCCATAAGCAAATATATGTAAAGTAATTTTATTTTACAACACACAAAACGAGTCCATGAGAACTGACATTTTGTATATTGTATACATAGAGTCGAGAGATAGATATCAAGTAAACAGCAAGTTACATCACGCAATAGAAGTGAGACTATAAATGATATGATAATTATAGACAATTACATCGAAACGGCATTATGAAGAAAAGTATATTGGTATTTCTTGCGCTACTACTTGGCGCCATTACAGCCAACGATTCCGCAAATGATTGGGAATCAAAATGTAATAAATGTCGATGTCATTGGAAGTCATCGAAAAAAACGGCAGATTGCCGTGATACGGGACAAGTGAATATACCGATTGACTTACACACAGACATTCAGTCACTGGATCTCTCAAATAATCGAATTGCTGAAATACGAAAGAATGAATTGTTGAATAATAATTTAAATAATTTACATAGATTAATAATAGCAAATGCAACATTAGAATTAGTCGATGTTGAGGCATTTGCTGAACTGTCGATTCTCATTGAATTAGATCTCTCGAATAATGACATAAGAGTCATTCATGCTGGCACTTTTCATCCATTAATTAAGATAAGAAAAATTTTATTACATGATAATCAAATTACATCCATAGCTGATCGTACATTTGAAAATTTAATGCATTTAAGTCATGTGGAATTAAATAATAATAAAATTCGTACGATTGGCGATCAAACATTCATAAATGTGCCACTCAAAACAATTAAATTGGGTAACAATCGTCTAGAGAAATTAAATGTCGCGACATTCACACATTTGCTGCATTTAAGTGAATTAACGCTCGATGGAAACATGTGGAATTGTACATGTCAGTTGAAAGAATTTCGAAATTTTGTCATTGATAAAAAATTGACAATGGAGACAAAGTGCCACTATCCCGATGGATTAAGAGGTAAATTATGGACGGATGTTGATGAGGAAGAATTTGCCTGTCGTCCACGTATTGTGCCTCGTGGTCCATCACAACTGCGAGCGAGTAAAGAGAATGAAACCATTAAGTGCCATGTGAGCGGATCGCCACGTCCAAATATTGAATGGATATTCAATCGTAGAGTATTGAGAGAAAATGATCGACATAAGATTCATACATACGAGCCAATAGGTTCACAACGTTCTGATATATTACGTCTTGTAAATTCTGAATTAACAATTGTTGGTCTACGAACTGGCGATGCTGGCAAATACACTTGTCGTGCTACAAATCGTGGCGGTGATGATGAGTATGAGTTCATGCTGGAAATACCAGCAGATTATACAAAAGGTGGTGCTTTTGTGCCCGCATCATCAAATACATTCTTTATGATTTTATGCATTATTGTTGGTGTCCTATTCATCATACTCTTTACAATTGTCATACTTTGCTGCTATTGTCGCCGCACGACAAAGTATCACCAAAAGAATCCGTCATCTGATAATACACTACTCATGACACAAACGAATGGTCCAACAACAAAACTTAATGGTAAAACACAAAATGATTCGATGCTTGATGGTGGCTCAGTGATAATGGAAATGCAAAAGAGCCTCCTGACTGAGGTGAATCCGGTTGAAAAGCCACCTCGTAGGACTGATGTTGACACTATTGAAAAGGATGCTGATGATATCAGTGAGATGAAACAGACCTTGCTGAATGAAACTATATTCAGTAAGTTGAAATATTTTTTTTTGTGCCTTTAGCACTCAACATTAGATTCTTATCATTTATAATATTTTCATCCACAGGTCAAATCGACGATGAAACACGATCCATTCAACTGTCAGATTCAACAGCGCCGCGTTCTCGACAAGCATATTTCGATGATGGAATAACCGGTGGTGCATTACCGCCAGATTTATTAGCCTTCCCGCGCTTCCCACAATCACCATCGTTACAGAGCTCAATATCAAATATCCATGATGTACGTATCTATGGTAGATCGCCTTTAACGTCACCTGTTTATGGTGAGACAACAATGCCATCGAGTGGCTTTAGAACGCTGCAACATCCAAAGACTGGACGAACAATGGCACTAGCAACAGCACGTTCAAATTCACCATTCATACCAGCACCAATAATATATCCAGCAATTTTAAAGCAAGGATATGTGACAATTCCACGTAAGCCACGTACTGGTAGTTGGGCACCGGCTGTAGTTAGTGAAATGTCATCTCCAACATCTCCAACAAACTCAATTGAGATTGTCGAGCCTGTTTATGATAACCTTGGTTTACGCACAACAGCCACTGGCAGCTCATTATTAAATCTTAATAAACTTTCATCGAGTAAAACCTTAAGTCCTGGTGCTAATCTTAAATACACAATGAAGGATCGTCCATTGCCAGCAACGCCAAACGGTGAGCAACTTAATGGATCAATTCGTGAGCCTTTATATAGTAGTACACCAAGTGAACGTAAAGTACCGCCACGTCCACCTCCGAAACCGAAAAAAAGTTTTGTAGAAACTGTAGCGACAACAAATCCGCAACGAATCACCACAAACGGTCACTTTGAGGACGAATGTGAAGATGGAACAGAAGTATAGCCAATGTGTAAAGTTGTGTTTGTATAGCATGCAAGGCATCATCATCATCATCATCATCACAATGACCACAATGCAATCACAACTAAAATAATCATTACAATTGAGGTAAGGAGAAAATTAGCTAATGGAATTCAATTTCATTATGATGGATTAAGCTACGGACACAACTGTTACATTATTTAAATTAGACGATTTAATTAAAATTGAGGGAAATTATTTTATTTTTCTTCGGATGGATGAAAAAGTTTTTTAATTTGATGAAGAATTTTTTTTGATAATTTGAAGTTCAGATGGATTCGACTCAATTGAGAGACATGCTAGAAAAGTTGGGTATGGGGCACAAAAATTTATCATAAATTTAAAAAAAGTTTTTCATTCATTTTGAGAATAAATTTAAAGTAGGGACACTCTTTATTATAATCTCTGACTGAATTCCTGAGATGAATGTCTTTTTTTAAATATTGAGGGGGTCGTTCAAAAATGACGGTAATTGATAAATTTAATTTTGAGACTAAACCTATTAACTTTGAAAATTAGGGGACGACATCTACTCGGGTTAGTTTTTTGGATTTGTGCCAGGTTTTTGCAAATATGAAATTACACCCCTAAACCTATACCAACCCTTAACCTATACCTACCCTAAACTTTTACTTCCCCTGAACCTTTACCTATCCTAAACATAAATCTACCCTAGACTTCAACCTACCCTAAACCTATACCTAATCAAGACCTAAACCAATCCTAAACCTGTATCTACCCTAAACCTGTTCCTACCCTAAACTTATACCAACCCTAAAGCTATACCAACTCTAAACTTATACCAACCCTAAAGCTATACCAACCCTAAACTTATACCAACCCTAAACCCATACCTACCTTAAACCTTAAACTTGTACATACCATAAACCTAAAACTACCCTAAACCTATACCAACCCTAAACTTGTACCTACCCTAAACCTATTTCTATCCTTAGAGTATATTACTAGGAATTAGGTGTATTTATCAAGCGTTATTTATTTATTACCAATTGACGTCATTTTTGAACAACCCCCAAAAACAAGAGTGTTCCGGCTTTTGTTAATAAAATTCTAATTTTCTTATATTTGCCTTAATCTCCTTTGATGGACAAATTTGTTTCTTTTTATTTGTATGTTAAGTGGAAGTGAGTGTGAACTAGCATTTTAATTCATTCATTCAATTTCATTCATACACGCTCACAAAAAAGTAGATAGATGAACAAAAAAAAATATAGTTTTTTAAAATGAAAAGAATCTTCTACTGTGTAGTTTTTTAATTCAGTTTCATGAGTGATGAGAATGATAAGAGTGAATGAATAGGAGAATATAATTATGATGATGATGATGATGATGATGATAAAAATTTCTGTGCCAATAGACTGAAATGGAAATAAAATTAAAAGAAAAAAAGGAATGAAAAAATAATGAGATGGATGTGTGTGATTTGCAGGAAATAGAAGAAATGAATGTGATGCTCCAAATTATATCAAGGAAGGCAAAATCTGCTGAATTCGGGTCTTGAAGGATTTATGTCAAAGTGCTCTTTTGTGTCCTTTGGATACGACTTGAAAATCTGAATTGATTGCTAGAATCTTACTTTAACTTGGAACTTGGAAGTTAGAGTTTGGCTGTTCCAAGTGGTTGGTTAATATCTTTTTCTGACTTAAGAACCAAAAGCGTAGCCAAAAAATGTTTAGGTCGAGGTAAGGAGTCAAAAACCTCAACTTTATGGAAGACTTTATATATTTGCTTCTAAACCTTCCCTAACTTGTTCTGTCGATACAAAAAATTACAAATTCTCTTGGTCCTTTTCTAGTGTGGACCTAAAGAGCAACATCTGAGATATTATTCGTACCCTTGCATCCCTTCTAATTGTGCTTTAGTTGATAAAAGCATCTAATAGTATTGAATACCAAGACTAAGTCTCCATACAAACTGCTCAAGCTTGCTTTATCCGATTATCTTCAAAAACATTGCTCTCAGAAAGAAAAACGGAAAGAATTCCCGACAATTGAAGTGAAAAGAGGCACATACACAAAAAAAAACTTCAACATTTTAATTAAATTTCAAATTCAATGCCGCTTTTCTAAATGACTTTCACATTCTGTGCATGTATATGTTTGTAAAAGAAATTTAAAAATTTTTATTCTATTTGGATATTCTCATTTTCTAATTTAAGTATGCAAACAATTTTTTTTTTCGTCGTATATATTTTCATAATGGCTTAAAGGATTTGAGCAGACATTTTATTTCATATGCTGAGTAATAAAATACAACTTTTTATATGTTTTTTGTTCGTTCAAAGAATGAATTCACGCAATGTTCTCATAAATTTGTTTGTTTAAGGGTTTGTTCAAGGCAAGGAGGTCAATCAACTAAGACAACCACTCCTCACTACATCCCTGGATATTACACAAAAGCTTTATTCGTTTACATTCATTTAAAAATATTTATTTTTATTATTTTCTGTGAAAGTAATGAAAAAATAAAAATAAATTTTAAAACAAAATTTTTCATTCATGTAAATTGAATTTTTGAAGCTCAATGTGACTTGTTTTCCTTTTTGTTTACATTTCAATGGGTGAAAAAAATACCTTTTATGATTTATTTGATTTGAGTATTTTCGACTATGTGACGAAATTTGATGAATTAAAAACTCGTGGATAATAAAAGCTTGATTGGTCAGAAAATATGCTTTTGGAAAATTTCATGTGAAATATTGGGATCATTCACTTATGACGTCCGAAAATAACGGTCATTTTTCAAAAGAGAACAATGGATTTCCAGGAATTTCTATTGTTCTTTTCTTGTTGACCCCCCCCCCCCTTGATGTCATAAGTGAACGGCCCCATTTGAAAAATCAACATTTTTGAATGTTGAACAAAAATTCATCAAGCTGCATAGTTCTTTTGAATTTTCACTCATTTCAATCAATTCTTCAAGTTTTAAACACAAATTTGTGCAAACGAATGAAAAGTGTTTTTAATAAAGCTTTACAATTCTCAGAGCATCCGATAATTTTTGTTTTCATAAAGCTTTTGATTCCGATATTATTGATTTAAACAAAAATAAAATTATAATTAAATTTGTCTTTGTGGCGCTGTAGACTAGCACTTCAGTACTTGAATATTGCAATATTTGACCCAGCAATCCTAGGTTCAAATCTCAAGGCTGAGCCTTTCAAGCATTATAATATATAAAGTGCCCTTGAGCTTTGCTTATCTACAAGCCAGTTATCAAACATTCAAAATAATCAACAATGTAAATTCATTTCCTTCAAAAACTTATTGTAACTCAGTAATAAAATACAACAAGGATCTCCTTAAAAGTTAACAGAACAAGCTACATTAACGCTTCAAAACATTTCAAAACAATTTTAGCAAATCAAATTTTCTAAAACAAAACAAAAAATTCCAGAGCAATCTCCAAAACCAGAACAAACTCAATTTTGGTATTCATTTCTCTAAACGGACAATAGAAAAAGTTTTACTACATTTTCATAGAGCAAGCTAGCTAAATATTCGACTATGTGTACATTAACACATCACAGACAATAATAAAAGCTCATAGGACAGAAATGTCACTTGATGATGTGAGCTCAAAAGCATTTTTAAAACTTTTATGTGATTTTAATTAAAATCTCTACATTCATATCTTCTTTATTCCTGCATGTGTGCTATTGTGTGAAATGAAAATGAGATTCTCATTTGAATTCTTTATATTATTTTTTTTATACATATAATATTGTGTTTTGTCATCATTGTAAATATGTGAAAAGATATAAAAAAAATAAAAATAAAAATAAAATTAGTTATACATACGTGTATATGTACATTTAGAAGAGGGAACTAAATGAAAAAGTTTAATAGGAGAAAAAAAAATTGCTAAATTTAAATAAATGAAATGTTATCCCTTTTCTGATAATAGAAATTTAACTATAATAATAATATACATTCATAAGATGATAAAATAAAAATATAAATTAATTTAAAAAAATGAAAAAACTTTTTTTTCCTTTTTTTATGTTTGCCTCAAATTCATCACAGTGGAAAATATCATTTTTTTCTGTTAATTTAATGCAAAAGTTTTGTTAATTATTATTATTATTTTATCATACATTTATTATCATACAAATTTGATGAGATAAATTAATTAATGGATTAATGATGTTGTAGCTTTATGCTCTGCAGTAAAAATTAGAGTTTGTTTGGGGAAAATTCACATAAAAAAACTTTCGTTCTCGTAAAATCATAACAACATTTTTGGAAGTAAACTGCTGTATGGATTGGCGATGAACTTTTGAAACTTAATTATGATGATTAGTAAAAGGTTTATTGTGGGCTAAAGTGGCTTGGTGGTGGAATGGATTAGTGGTTTGGTGTTAAAAATCGACATAGCTAGCTAGCATGGGTTCGAGACTTGCCATGAGCAATATTTTAAACTGTCACTTTTTCAAATGTTATGTTTCAAACTAGCTTGATGTGAAATTTAAAAGCAGAATTGACATCAAAAATTGAAATAAATTTTATTTTAATGCTTGTTTCAAAAGAGAAGTAAAAGAAGCTCATAAATTTTCAATACACTGATTTCTCGAACCAACCACTCCCCTCCTCAATTATGAGCTATAAGTTTTAGTAATGATTATTAATTGATGATTGCATTTAGATGCAATATTTCCGCCCAACATGATTCATAATTATTTAAATATCCTTCAACTTCATAAATATCTTTCAACAAAGACATTTACTTATTGTTTCTCAAGAAAAAGTCGTCATGCTATAAGTAAATGATGATAAAAGTCTACCCACAATTAACAAGTAAAACAGCGTATTGACGTCAAAACAGAATTATGTAAATTACTCTAGAATTTATAAAAAAAAAAGCTTCGAATCGACATTGTTCAAGTCAAAATCTATTTGCCTCAAGTTTACATCAAACTCTGGCTCTTATAATATAATAATAATGTGTGAAGGGCCCAGCCTTTCAGCTGGAGGCACTGCGACTCAAATAACTCTGGCTCTTACTTTTACCAAAGGTTGAAGCGTTAGCATTAGAGAAACAGCAACTTGTTGTATAGATAAAGAATCTTGAAAGAAACTGGATCTCCTGGTTCGCAAAGGGCTGTTTAATTATAATGTAACGTTTTTAAGGATCAGAGGGTTTTTAAGATTTTGTGACAGTTTAAACAAAGGAAATTTAATTTCTATATAAAGTTTGATGAAAGGTTGGAAGGAGGGGGGAGGGGCGAAGTGGGTAGGGGTAAAGAGGGCGAAGGGGGGTAGGGAGAAGGAGGTAAGGGAGGTTTGAAAATCCACGAGTTACGTCAATGTTGTCTAAACTGTGTAACGTAGAATTTTTTTGAAAATACCTGGCTTATCATCAAGGTTTACCGTGGCTCAAAATCGTAGTAAGAAGCTTTTCTTTGAGAGAATAGCGGGGGTGGTTTTGACATTGATGATCCTAATATTATCATATCTATACTATGATTTCCACAAAAAACCAGTTTCAGAAAAGTTACAACTTCCAGATTATTTAAGATACATAAAGCTACCCTAAACGATCCTCATTCAGCACTTCATCATTAGTCCATTAAATCTTACTTGTAGAATTTCGTTCAGTATAAACAATAGCATTACATAAACTATGTACAACATACACACAAAACATAAATGTACAGATTCTCAACAAAAAAAAATGTACGATCCATAGTTTTAAGGAGCATAAGATCGAAATATTTAGTTTTGCTAACATTTAACATGGCAATAAGGGATAAAAAAATCTCAATTGTAGATGAAAAAAAATTTAAATGGCCAAAATAATTTAATTTTTTTATTTTAAATGAGTTTTTTTTTCATATGCAGCTAGCGACATCAACAAAATGATGATTTTTTTATATACGGAATAATGTATCTCATCTGCAAAAATTTTCTGCATACATAATTCTCTTATTTTTTTTGTGCTCGTGACACATTTAATAACATTCACATACACATTAATTATTTTATTTTATAATTATTTTTAAGTAATACTTTTTATACAATACAATATTATATTATACAGAGTACAGACAAGAAATATTTCATTTCTGTTTCATGCTAAAAAGTTTATATTTAAAAAAACCCTTTTGTGTATTTTAAGAGCCTTAAAAATCAACAATAAAAAAAATATTGAAAAAAAAAAATATTTTTATGAACATTGTGTTGTGTTTTTATTTTTTTTTCATATTTTAATTTTAATTATATAATTTTATTTTGTCATTCTTTTGTTTTTTTGATTCTGTCATTTTTTTGGTACCGAAAGTAATTTAATTTCAGGTTTGAAGAGTTTAATTTTTAATTTTTCAGGGAGTTGTGAGTCAAGTTTGTATTGTGTGGGGGTTTAAATATTTTATTTGGTGTGTTACAGATCCTTACAAGGTCCTTTTTCAGGATTTTCTTTGAAAGTCTTAGGGGCCATTCACTTATTACGTAACGCTTTTAGGGGGGGGGGTCTAAAAAGTCATTTTTTCGCGTTACGTAATAAGTGAACAGCCCCTTAACGAAAGAATTAAAATATTTACTCAAATTATCTTGAGACTTAGTCTGCTACTTATACAACCTACTCCCTTAGTAATCCTACTTCCTTATGCAACCTAGTCTCTTATACAATCTACTTTTTTTATCAACCTTCTCCCTTATTCAACCTAGTCCCTTAGTCAACCTACTACCTTAGTCAACCTGCTTTCCTATGCAACCTAGTCCCTTAGTCAACCTACTATCTTAGTCAACCTATTCCCCTGTACAACCTTGTTGCTTAGTCAACCTATTACCAAAATTAACCTACTCTTTTAGTCAACCTACTACCTTAGTCACCCCACTAACCTTAGTCAACCTACTAACCTTAGTCAACCTACTAGCCTTAGTCAACCTACTACCTTAGTCAACCTACTTCCCTATGCAATCTAGTCACTTAGTCAACCTACTCTTTTAATAAACCTACTCTCATATTGTTTGTATGGCAAGGATTCCCAAAATACTCACAATATTACAAATAAAACCTTCATTATTTCAGTCATTCTCCACCAGTACCATCCCCAGCATCATTATTGTTTTATTCCAATTTTATTCTGCATACTCAAAAAAAAATCATATTAATATTCTCGATTTTCAATGCACTTAAATGAGCATAAAGTTATTTATTGTATATTAAATACGACCAAGTGACTGGTTTTCGCTGAATAATAAATTTCATCAAGTTGGTAAGCTCAATATCCAGTCATGTATAATGTGAGTGATATGGAAGTAAAATTGTGAGGCTTATGAGGACAGTGCATACAATTAAAACACTTATGCGTGCATTAACCAGCTTTTTTTATTATTTTCATTTATTGTGGAAAAAAATTCAATTAAAAACTTTTTTGCCAAGAACAAAATTACTCTCCTGACGTTCGTAAGTGGAGAATTGAATGTTTGGATATAAAAAAATGTATCATCATCTGTAATTATCTTTGAACAAGGCACTTCCTGTGCGGATTGCGGACCAATTTACTCAGGTACTCGTATAAATGCTTATTTATGTTATTTTCGAGCTTTTTTTTTTTCGTTGTTAAGAAATTTATTCAATGAATTTATAATTCAATTTATTCCGGAGTATGAGGCATATATTAAAATTATATCTTTATTTTGGATCCTGTTGATTTGCATCGAAATTAAATTTTTCTTGTTGCTTCTTTTGGAGAAATTCATTAATTTTGGTTTTTGGACAGTGAGCGAAGATTGATAATCAAGGCGCATCTTTTGGGTGAGAAAGGTTGAATAATTGTCAAATATTATTAACTTTAGATGGCTTTTTGATGAATTTATGATTCTGTTCACTAGTTGAGAGCTGAAGACATCCTAATGACAGCCTGGAAAGCTCATTTAAGCTCCCAGGAGCTCCTAATAGCTCCCACTAGCAGCTCAAGAGTCTGAAATATATTGAACACAGTTATTTCAAAGTTTGATCAGAAATTGGGATTTGAACTTACATCAACTTATAATTTCACTCGCAAGCTACTTATTCTGAATTATTGCAGTTCACTGAATTAGCTATAGAAGTGTTTTATATCCTAATTGCTTTAAGTACAAACTAGCAAGACTGGATATCTTTATCAAACTTAATCCCGCCATGTTGTTTCCCTCTCCAGTTAATTCTATAATCTGAAGTTAAATACATTTAATCCTTTATTATCACATTAGCTACTCTAAACAAACAAAAGCAGTTAATTCCTTTTGAATTCTTCCTATCCATACAACTTTATCGTTTACACTAAAAGATATAATTTAAATGAGCAAGAAAAAACATTTATTTCTTTAATTATAACCGAGCAAACATCATGTTGTACATGAACTCCAACATATATGTGCAAATTTAAAATAAATGGTATGCATTTTATAGCATAAAAGAGATAAATCTCATATAGCTGTAGAAGAAAGACATTAAACAGCACACGATATAGTCACTCTTAACATTACATATAATATATGTTAGTTGAGAATATCACCATAAACATAGTGATATGCTCATAGTATGGGAGTTGGGTAGAATCTATTAAAATAATGTGTTAAGCCGATTATAATCGACCATGGGAATTCCACCACTACTACTGCTTCTCATGTTGTTGAGAACTTTTTTTTTCAGTTTTCACTACTTAACTCGTACTGATGTACTAGGAGATAGCAGATACCATTTTTATGGCGCCACGATGAGGCACTATGGGCCAGAAATCGAAAACTTTTCCGAAAATTATTTTTTTGGTCTAAATGATAGCTCTTTTATTCCCATTTATAAAAATACTTACAAAAGTGGCCAATTCAGCCTAAGTTCCGAGTTATGGCTTTTCAAATTTTTGATTAAGAGCATTTTCTCGCCCCACAAAAATTGTCACTGCTTTTCATTAGATTGATGAAACTCTTTCAATTTTTTTTTATTTGGTAGCTTAAAATAAGAGCTTTATTTTAGGATAGTAAACATTTAATTATGCATCTTTTAACTTTATGAATTTTAAGGTTTTTTCAAAAAAGCACGTGTTCAGTATGATTATGTTCGTCTAGAACTTCACTCTTAAAATAAATGATGCTGAATCTTTTTTTATATTGTAGATATAAACAAGATCTACAACTTTTATTAAGATACTATAAAGTTTTATTAGAGTTTTGCTGATGAAATTAAGTCTTTTCTTCAAAAAAACTGCAATTTTTTGACATAAATTCCCATAACTTTTCAGGATAGCCCAAAGGAGTGGATTTTTTTTACATGCTTTAAAAGCTCTTTAAATATACTATCAGAATATACAATCAGCTTGAGTTCGGTTACTGAGACAATCTCGAGCAATTTGACTTTGAAGTGTGACCAGAAATACATTTCAAAACATAAAAATTGAAAATAAATTTTGTACGTTTTTCAAAATTTTAGTTTTTTGCTTTAGATCAATAGATCTTATCAAGGCGCATATTTTGAGTATAAATATGTCATAGTTTGAACAATTTTTATACTCAAATTTCAACAAAATCATTTTTATATATTTTTTCAACAAATTTTACTTATTTTTCAATTATTTTAAACCAAAACTTATTTTAAATCTTCTGATTTTGATATTTTTTGAAATTTCTATGTTTTTATGTTAAAATGTCATTCCTAGAGCAACAATTCATAAATTTTTTTTTACTTTAAGGTAATTTTTTTATAATTTTTTGCAAATTACACTCATTTTTCTTATCTTTTTTTATCAAATTTTATTTTATAATAATTCTAAATATTGAAATTTAATGTAATATGCATAAAAATACTCTTAAATATTTAAAAATCATATTTTATCCAATTAACGTAGGAATAAAGCTGGAATGAGCAAAGCTTTGATATGTTGCTTTAATTTGAAGGTAATTCTCCTTTCGATTCAGAACATATAAGCATCCAATCAACTATTTTTAATAAATTTCGGTATACATACTTATTTCCATGCAATTGTAAATTTTTATTATTATTATTTATTATTATACTTTCTCTTGTTTTAAAGGAAAAAGCCCATAAATACATAAAGATAATGAGTTTCAATGATTTAAATAAAATCTTTAAAGAAACTCATAAAATAACGAACATTTTGAATTTAAAAACTTGATACAAAAATAACGGTCGTTCTTAATTTATAAACTAAAGTAAAGCATAAACTATCACCACGAATTATTAAAATTAAGGACCTATAATGAAAATAGTTTTTAAAAAGGAAAACGCTATCAACTGCTATCAACCATTTTCCAATCTATCAAATTTATTGTGACAATTTTTATCCAATGTTGAATGGTTCCTTATAGTTTTTTAGCATATTTCATTGATTTTTCAAATTTTTGTCTTTGCATATACTTTTTTTACTGATCTGTGGGCGCAACGTGATACATTTCAGATCCGTTCTGACAATTTATCATTATAAGGTAATCTTGTAGCTCTCGTTCCTATTTCTCCCGCTACACTTCATGTTCCTCATCCGTTCCTTAATCCAAATATCTCATGGCTTGATCTCGTACATTAAGCAGTCGAAGTATCTAAACTTCTGAAAAAGAACAAATTTGGAAATGGCTGGATTGGAACCGACGACCATCGAGTTACCATACCAAATTTGAGCCAATCGCCTTACTTATTTGACCAGCGAGGCACTTAAATCCTTATACATAGACAAAAATAGATTCAAGAACCATCATTTAGTTTTGATAAATTTCGAAACGATGCAATCTTTTCAAACTTTTGTATATATACTTTATATATTTCATACTGGTAAATTCCAGTCACCATTAGTGAGTCCAGTCAGATTATAAATATTGAGCTTTCAACTTCCGGACCTGAAAGGCAGTTTATGCTTTACAATTGCATGGAAATAAGTATGTATACCGAAATTTATTAAAAATAGTTGATTGGATGCTTATATGTTCTGAATCGAAAGGAGAATTACCTTCAAATTAAAGCAACATATCAAAGCTTTGCTCATTCCAGCTTTATTCCTACGTTAATTGGATAAAATATGATTTTTAAATATTTAAGAGTATTTTTATGCATATTACATTAAATTTCAATATTTAGAATTATTATAAAATAAAATTTGATAAAAAAAGATAAGAAAAATGAGTGTAATTTGCAA